AGACAAGCTCCCCGTGACCAGAATGCCTAGTGCTCTTGATTTGTTTGTCTTCAATACACAGCAACCCCTCCTCCATGCTCAGATTCTTTCACAGTACAATGATGAATTGCTTCTCTCTCCTGCTTTTATCTAGCTGCAATTATGAGATAAGTGAAATCTGACTGCATTTTGATGCCACCTGTTGCAAAGCACTAGAACAATATGTATTGAGAGTAGCAGCTGTTTCCTACATTGTGTTTATTTTTAATATTGTGAAGCCAGAATCTCTTTCCTGGGGTATTAAAACAGGCTGAAATAGTAAATACATTAAAAAACCCACAAACGCATTGCTGCAATGATATTAAAGAAACCAGAAGCAAATAGCTCATGTTGGTAGAGTTTTTTATTTCCCTCCACACTGAAAAGATTTCATGGTGTTTGGTCCTGCTGTGAGGGCAGGGGACTGGACTTGATGATCTCTCAAGTCCCTTCCAGTTCTAGTATTCTATGATTCTATGATCCTGACAAAGCAAATGACCCTGCAAGTTTTTCCTGCTTAAGCTGGCCTGCTGATGTTAATAGGATGATTCACATAAAGAACCTTATTAATGCCTTGTTAATCAATCATCTTAAGCTTTCATTTATTGTCACCTACATCGTGTAGATATTTTACTGCCTTATCTATATTAGGGCCAAATCCTTCCTTCAACTCCTCACATAAATCTGCCATTGAAATCAGTACTCCAAATGTAGCCAAAGCCCCTCTTACACACTAATAATCTTTTACTGGGTTGCTGTTATCATGATATCCATTTTCCCTCAAATCCCATCTTTTGCATGAATATATAGTCATGAATGAACAGTAGGCTTTAAACCCCCTCACTATTCTAAACATTGCTCTAAATTACAGTATTCCTGGGTTGTTTATCCAGTTTCTAAAAATGGCTCCATAAAAATGACAAAATGTATGAGTGAACAGAAAATGTGAAAAGATTCCCCAAGGCAAACCATGATATTGGCAATGGGGATTCTGCCCTGACCCCTGCTATCACTCAGAACCTGCTTAGCATTCACTGTGATATTGACTAAAATCTCTAACTCTGAACACAAAGACCAGTTCAAAGGTTGGGTCATTCCATTTAACTTCAGCACAAAAGCTCCCTGCGTGCTCCCACTCTGATTATCTACAGCATAAATCAAGACACTGTCCAAAGAGGCCACATACACCTAAATATCCTAGGCCTGCTTCATCTGGCCATATTAATAGCATGTTGTCTTGCCCCACACTTTGGTTCTAACTACATTGTAGTAACTTCAGGGGGTAGCCGAGTTAGTCTGTTACCAAACAAACAAAAACCAACAAAAAAGCTCATCACCAATTAAACCATCTTGTTAGTCTTTAAAGTGCTACACAGTCCTGTTTTTTGTTTCAGCTACACCAGACTAACACGGCTACATTTCTATCACTATAAAACATGTAGATGGTATCATGAGCTTTTGTGGGCACAGCCTTCTTCTTCAGATGACCAGAGGGTTGGAAGTCCAGAACCAAGAACTGTAGTAATAAATTAAATCAACAACAAATCATACATGCATATTTATACTTTATATGTTCTAGGTTAACCCATACACTTCAGTGAAACCATGCAAAAAGGACTTCAGCAAAGAAAAACAACCACAGAAGTTCATAGGAAAACACATCAGTTATTGCTGCAGAAAAATGCTCCAACTGCAAAACAGATTTTTAAAATGGTCACTTATCAGCACATGGATTAAGTTTCATGCCATATCATTCTGTCATGTAAAATATTTATCACTCCATTATTATAATTCAAGGCCTTTTTCTGCAAGGAGTTAAGAAATTTGTCAACATTTTAACAGTAACTCTAGATTTTTATGGTGAAAGATACACATCTGTCATTTTTATTAGTATGAGTCACTGAATATATTAGGGCTTGAGAATATAGTTTGCAGGCTAAGGGGCTGAAATATTCTACTGTAGATATTTCGTCTCCAATATCTATTATTCTATTGATGGATTTTAATATGTAGGGTGGGGTGCATTTCTTCAAATGTACAATAGATACTTTAATAGTCTCTGTCTGAGCTCCAGGAGGCACACTTACAAAGGTATTTAGATGCCTATTGGAATTTAAAAAAGGACTGAAGCAAGGTAAAGGCTTAATTTCCAACATTTGTGGGGGCAGGCAGGGCCGGCCCACAACATTTTGGCACCTGAGGCGGGGAGCTCAAATGATGCCCCCATGTCACCTTTTCTCCTGCCTGCCTGTTATGTCTCTTGTGCCCTCCTTTCTCCAGCACAGCACTCCACCATCTCTGTGCATCTAGAGCAGAGAGAATACATATGCACCAACAGCAGACACAATTTTCTATACTCTGGGTCCTAGTAGCACCTCCCCCCACACCAGTCTGGCACCTGAGACAGCCGCTGCAGTTCACCTCATGGAAAGGCCAGCCCTGGGGGCAGTATTCCAGAGAGACTTTAAACTCATCCCAGACATTGCTAAATAGCACAACACCTAAAACCATACAACCATCATACTTCCACATTCTGATGTCCTGAGGCGCTCTCCATCCCTGCTGTTTTCTTTGTGTGTGCTGTGCTTGGACCTGAAAAGTGCCAACCAATCTCTGGAGAAGCATTCTCAGATTCCGCCTGAGATACAGACATTCAGGTTCTCATAGGAAATGCCAATCACCTTACAGGATCATACCTTAGGGTGCCAGTTTCTGGAACATTGGACCTTTTCTTTTTCATGCTGAGCATACTATCAGCATTCAAGTACAGTATGAGGTTTTTTTGTATTGCTATTCACAATTGGATCCAATCATGAGTAGGAAGTCAGATACAAGGGTTTTGTCATAGACTTCAATGAAAACAAGATTGGACCTGTTTCCATTTATAAAAAATTGAGAGAACAGCTAGTCTAAAGCCAAAGATAAATGATAAATCATATCATTATTTAAATAAAGGCCTTCATGATACACGACTTAATCAGGAACTTTTATTTGTATCAACCTTGAATAAGATATTAATGAAAATAAATTTACTTTGCTGTTAGTTGTCTCTATTTCCACTGCTAGTATTGCTAATATGTGTCAGATAATTATTTCTCTTTCTCCTTTATAACCAAGATTCTCCTGCTGCTTTAATATGTAGCAAATTTAAAATTCTCTGGACATATCAGGTATCAAATCATAGTCCATTCCTGGGCATAGACTCAGCATAGTGACGTCACTGCCTGATCAAGCAGGAAGAGATGAAATGGGGTGAGGGAGGAAATCCATTTTTTAAGCACAAATATCTATTAGCCAATGAAGCAAGACATAGAACTGGCTACTGAGTAATTTGAATACAGTATATTTTTAAAGTTTCCTCCATTTTCTCATTGTTTTCTCCATAGATAAAAGGAAAATTCCCTTTTAAGTAGGTTGTTTAGACTAAGGTTACATCTACACTGCACAGTTATTTCGGAATAAGCTATTCCAGAATAGTTATTCCGAAATAGTTTATTTTGAAATAGCACATCTACACTGTAGGGAAAATCAGTCTGAGAGAGGCATCTTGATTTAGAGCCCCAGGAGGAATAATTTAGAATGGCCCTGGTGAGAGACTATTTTGAAATAATTTAATTTAAATGAAGATATACCTATCTCATAAAACTGGAAGGGACCTTGAGAGGTCATCGAGTCCAGTCCCCCACCCTAACTGCAGAACCAAGTACCATCCCTGACAGATTTGCCCCGGAACCCTAAATGGCCCCCACAAGGAATGAATTTACAACCCTGGGTTTAGCATGCCAATGCTCAAACGACTGAGGTATCCCTCCTCCTGGAAATGGAGCATCTACACATAGCTTATTTCCAAATAGCTATTTTAGAATAGGCATTATTCTTTATAGAATGAGGTTTACAGAAGCTGGAATAAACCATCCATTATTTCAAATTTTTTTCAAAACAATGAAAGTGCTCTGTAGATGCTCGCATAGTTATTTTGGCATAAAAGCCGTTATTCCAAAATAACTTTGCTTCGTAGACACACCCTAATTGATAAAAGCAGACAACATACACTGTTTTATTTAAATAGATGTAGTACAATTCTCCAATCACTTCATGTTCAGTACTTTATATAGAATATGATAAGGCAGAAGTGTCAAGGAGGATGAGCAATACAAATGTAAATTCTCTTTCAGCAATAGTTTTAGGTATCAAAAATTCCACTGGTGTTTTAGAGTCTATAATCTTTACTCATGCATCTAATCAAGACCAAGTCTAAAATACATCTATCTCCTTTAGGCTGAAACCCTGCTCTGTCTCTTCATGTGATATGGATGATTTACCAGTTATAAAGTACACTAACAGATAATTGATGCATTTGCCCAGCTTTAGTGACTCTCTCAAGCTTAGTTAATTTTCCACACATTCTTACTCTGGAAATAAAATCATCCTTAAGCAGAGTTCATAATATTGTATGAAAAGAAAAAACCCTCCAAAGATTTACCATTCATAACTAACTGCATTGACATACAATCTTTGGTAGCATTAGTTAAGTCACTCTCGTCAATTGTCACATAAGACTTGTGTTATTTTAGTTTACTTACATTTGTTCTCCTCCTCTTCCCCATGTTTCCCCGAGGGATGGTACATTTGAATAGACAGGAAATGAAGAAGAATGACACATGTCAATCCTTTTCTCATAAGATTCAACTAAGGCTATTAATTAACATCCCATAATTGTCCTTATTATTGTCACTGCATGAAGAACAAATGAGAGCAATCCCCATGTTCTACCAATTTCTGAGGCCATGCAGCTCAACAATATTTGATATGAAAAACCATTTGAAAATGGATAAAAGGGAAGTCAGAGGGAATTACTTGAGTGACACTTCACTATGTGAAATACTCTTATAACTCACTCTCATCTGGATAGCTTGAAAGTTACTCTTATCAGACACAGAAGATCATAAAGAATGTAGAGTACAATTCTTTCAGTTAATTACCTCAGCAATATATAACATTATAGTTGAACTTTGTGTAGAAAATCCTCCAATGTATTAAAAGAACACCGATTTATATGAGAAATGTCTATTGTTTCAAACCAATCTATCGCAAAAGGAGAAGGCAAACTGTAAAGGAGAGGAAGGAAGTTAAAAAATGCCACTCAGTTTATTCTAGGAATAAAATATTTTTAGGTTAACAAGAGTTATCTAAAGGTTTGAGTCACTACCAAATATTTAAAATAAATTACACTGGTTATGGCTAGAAAAAGCTTGATATAAAAAGCACAGTGTCAGAGTCAGTTGCTAATGTAAAAACAGAAATAGCAGTCTTTTAGATATAAAGCTCTTGAAGATTATATGGTGAATATTTGGAATCAAGTAGATTTTCAGAAACATTCACAATAACACAGGTTAGTAAGACTGGACATTTTGTAATGCCAATAAAGCTATTATCACATCAATTGCTGAATGAGGTTTAATAAAAAAAAACCATTAAATATGGGCAAGATGTTCCATATCTCTTAGGGTGTATCTACACAGCACCCTTACCTTGAAATAAGCTACACAATTTGCACTACAAAAAATTGTGTAGCTTATTTTGAGGTTATTTCAAAATAGCTTATTTCAAAATTTGGCGCTGTCTATACAGTGCCAAATTTTAAAATAAAGCACTATTTTGACAAATTCCATAGCCCTCGTGGAATGAGTGTTATTGGGATGCCGGAATAGTGTGCCCATTATTTTGAAATATATTTTGAAATAACGGGCACATTTAAAGATGTGGTATAGCTATTTTGGGATACTGGAGGTATCCTGAAATAGCTCTATTATGTAGACGTAGCCTTAGGGTGCATCTACACAACATCACCTCAAAATAAGCTACACAATTTGTGCTTATTTTGAAATAAAGCACTATTCCTACAAGTCCCTTAACCCTTGTGGAACAAGGGTTACAGGTATGCCAGAATAGCATGCCCATTATTTTGAAATATATTTTGAAATAATGGGCACGTTTAAAGACGCGGAATTGCTATTTTGGGATACTTCTGGTATCGTAGCCTTACTGAGATGAGTGGACTTCCATTTATAATTAAATTGTACCTGTCACAAGTCTCTGAAGCATTGCTAGAGAACTTCACTTTCTAAAAATCCTATTAAAATCCTAGAATTGTTTTCAGAACACTTTGTGCAGCACAGAGAAGATGGTTTACAAGAGTTCTAAGACACTACTCAAGTAAACGAGGCTTTCAGACCATTTCAGTCTAAACCCCTGAAGTGCAAGTGATGATACAGACAAACTGAAGCAATTCAACTAGCTCTCCCACTTTGCTTCCACAGTGCACAGTGGAGGTCTTTCAGAAAAAAACCTAGAATACATTGATTATGTAAGCTATGCTGGGAAGTTGAAAATATGTATGCAGGGAACATTGCAACTGAAGCAGGCTAAGGCAGATCTTCCGGAAAGGCATCTACTCTTCATCTGAAAACATCAAGAACGGAGAATCCACTGTTTTGCTGGTTGTTTGTTTCAGTGGTTAATGACCCTCATTGTTAAACCATTTAATTTCAAATTTGAATTCAGTTTCCAGATATTGGTTCTTCTTATGCCTTTTTCTACTACATTAAAGAGCCCTAGTACTAAGTATTTTCTCCCTACAACAGTACTTATACATTTGTTTTTGCCAAAGCATCATACCAGGCACTCATGCTAAGATGCTTGATCACTATAATCCCGGTTGTGTAGTATACACATCTTGTCCTCTGTTGGGGTGTGGCGAGGTTCTGATAAAACTGTGATTATAGTTTTCCTGACTGTCTTTAGGCTGAAAGTGCCTCAGCCCAGAAACCAGAGACAATATGTTGGCCCTTAGGGTCAGAGTAGCATGACTCAATGGCCAGAATCTATTATAGCAGCTCTTGCGTTTGGGTCAGCACAGGCTTAGTGTTTAGAGTCAACTACAGTGGCCTTTGCATTCAGGACAGTGTGACTTAGTGCCCAGTGTGAATATGTCAATATGACAGCCCACCAACACAAGGCAGTACAGCCTCACAGCCAAGGTCAATATAATGCCCTTTAGACACCAGGCAGTACGGTGTAATGGCCAGAAACAATGGTGGACTGGATAGGAGACTGAGCCCCCCTAATGCCTCCAGGACCCACCCAGGGCCCAAACAGTGGCAGAATGGTCCACCACTGTATCAGTAGGGAATCCCAATGAAACATGCTGACCGCACTAATGCGGGAGATTCTACTTGCCCACTCTCCCTTGGGTGACTTCCTAGCTGCAGTCCATGGGAAATCAGGGTCGCCGGGCTCCTCAGTGCAGGTGATTAATTTGCCCCTTTGTATGAATGAATCTAGCCTATCAAGCAATACAGATTACTCTGCATGACTGCCCTGTCTTCATCATTATTTATCATCACACCACTCCTTTGCATCATCTGCAAATTTTATCAGCAGTTAATTTAAACTTACTTTCAGATCATTAATTAAAATGTTGAATAGCATCAGGCCTAATACTGATCCCTCACCACTAGAACCATCCCCATTCAGTAATTCCCATTCCCATTTTTAAATCTATTGGTTAGACAGTTTCCCTTTCATTTAATGTGTACTCTAGTGATAACGTATAGTTCTAATTCTTTAATCAGAATGTTGTGTAGTACTCAGAAAAACACCTTGCACAATTCTAAGTATATCACTCTAAACTTTATCAACCAAGCTTGTTTGAAAAAAGGTTTGTTTTACATGACTTATTTTCCATAAACTCATGTTCACTGGCATTATTATATTCCTACCCTTTCATTCTTTTTTAACCAAATCTGTAGCTACACTTCCCTTATTTTGCCCGGAAAAGATGTCAGGTTAACCAGCCTATAGTTACCTGGATTATCCAATTTGTCCTATTTGAATATGGCATAAAATTCTTTCAATCTTCTGGAATATCCTCAACATCCCAAGATTTATTAAAAATTAACATCAATGGATCACAGATCTCATCAGTCAAGTCTTTTAGAACTCTTTGATGAAAGTTACCTATGCTAGCAGATTTAAAATGTTTCTCCCTGAAGATTTTTTTTAAATCCTTTTTAGTTACTAATAAAATGGAAGGTACTTCACCCATCCTTACATGATAAAAATACATCATCCTACTTCTTTCCAAAGATAGAGCAGAAATATTTACTGAACACTTTTGTCTTCATAATTAACCATATTACCATCGCCATACAATAATGTGCTTATAATATTGCCAGGATTTCTTTTTTGTACATAAACTCCGACTTAAACATTAGCATGCCAGGTTTTCATTTTTTTCCTGATTTTTTTTTTGTTTTCTTACCAATCTTCTTGTAACTCCTAACTTACAATGATTACTTATTTCCCCTTTTCCATTGGTTATATTTTGCATTTTATTTCAAACTGCCTTCTCTGTTTCACCACTGAATCAGGATGGGCTTTTAGTCAGTTGTCCTCTTTCTTGATTGTGGAATTGTGGCTCTTTAGCCACCTAATACATTTCTTCTTAAAGAATTTCCAATTTTTGTTTACATTTTTCTATCTAAACTTCTTTGCCCACCTAGTTATCTTATAATTTCCCGCAGTTTTGGCAATTTAGCCCTTTTGAAGTGCTGACTACATATAATAGTGGTTGGAACTGTTCTCTGTTTGCCCATATTGAATATAATTAGGTCATGATCACTGGCCCGAAGCAATAACCAACTCTTAAATTCAGTGATTAATTTGTTTCTATCCATCATAATGAGGTCCAAAGGAGAATTTTTTTTTTTTTTGCTGGGTGCAATACATTTTGTGTTAGAAAAAAATATTTATCATTTTGAAAGACTTTAATGATGCTTTAGGAAGGGCCACATGAGACTTCCTACATATGTCTTCTAAACTGAAGTGCTCCATAACAACACATTTTTTTCTGTCCACAGTTTACAGATTGGTGTTTAAGGAGTAAACTCATCCTGTTCTCTAGTTTGATTCAGTGACTTGGTAGCAGACCTTCTCCTGGTTCATAACACGTTGATCCATATGAATTCAAGATCTGCATTTATGAATTATCAATAACTCTAAAACACATAATGGTATCTTTAGAGTACCATCATCCCTATCTCTTTTACCTATTCTACCCTCCTCAAGCAGGTTATATAAGAAATGATTTTACCATTCCCTGTTAATTGCCTCACCAGTTTCAATAATGCCAATTATATCAAATTTCTTCTCATCTGTGAGAATTTCCACTTCATCTTGCTTGGCATACCAGTTCCCAGAAATGGCATATAAACAATTGATTTTTTTCTTTTATTCACATTCTCAATCAAAACAGTTCAATTTGTTTGTGATACACTGAATTTGAACTGCATTTGCCTCCTTCACTCTCTTCCCCTTTCGTTGTCAATTTTAAACATTCCCAGCTACTCAAACTAGACTCTGCCTGAGAAAATTAGCCCCCTGTCTGTGAGGTGCAGGCCATACTATTCATACAGCCCACCACCCCACTGAAATGTGGCCCAACGTTCCACAAAACCAAGCCTTCAGCTTTATTACTGATCATGCAGCCAACAATTCACCTCCAGTATTTTCTGTCTTTTCTTGCTCATGAGATCTGAAAACTCTCAGACTACATCCCTTTGACTTTCCATTTCTTCAGCTCCCTTCCAAGATCCCTGAAGCCTACTATAATCTGGGCAGTTTTAAATGATGCCACATCATTGGTTCCAATGTGTACCATGACTAGTGTAGAACTGCCAGACAACTTCTTAATCCTTCATAATTTGCAGTTAAATTTTGTATTTTGCATGAAAGAGACAGTACACACTCCTTGTGTGCTTTGGTGAATTCTCTGCCCACTGTTCTTAATGTGGCACCACCAATGATTGTTTGCCTGGAACAATCTGAAGAACCTCTCTTGATAAGTGTTTGTTTCATCCCAAAAGAACTATCATTGAGTTTGTCCCCTCTAGCTTAAGGTTCTCTTCCACCATGGATAGTTCCACAGTAGTTGACTTACTACATATCTTATAAT